ATAAAATAACAACGCACACCAAGTTTGGAAGTAAAAACGGGTAACGGTCAAATATCGTATTGCGAGGGAAAAGACGGGGGTAGTTATCGCATGGTTGAGCCAAAGCTCCGCCCATCGCTGGTCCAACGATCGAGCCGAGACACCAAACGAAAGGCATAATAGAGTAAGCTCGCGGTTGATGCTCTTTTTTTGTGACAAGTTCCGCCACCGTCGTTTGTAGGACACCAATATTACCGTTGAGAAGCCCTCCAAGAGCACGAGCAAGTAGAGCAATCGGGAGGCTTGATGCGAATCCAAATGCAATCATGCTGATCGCTGTTCCAAGTAGACCTATGATTAATACAGGTTTCCTACCAAATTTGTCGCTCATTCGGCCCCAGAAAACTCCAGTCGTGAATTCAGCAAATGTAAAAGCGGATGTTACTGCTCCAGCATACAACGCAATCTTGCGATCGTCATCGGTGACTTTGAAAGAAGAAACCATGTAATAAACATACGGGAAAATCGACATGAAAGCGATAGGTTCACATATTCGGCACAATGCTGTACACAAAATTAGAGATATAACAAACACAACTTAATAACAAGCGAGGATCTGAAATCATCTATAATCGAAGGAATATGAAGCCAATAACAAGCGGGGCTGAACAAGACACATACCCAGTACGAATAGCTGCTGTGATGGGAACCGAGTTTCTTCATCTTTCGCGAGGGCAGCTCCCCTCAATATTGAGGTCAATCGACTGCGCATCCCGTCAGCCCTTCGAATAGAGGGCCAGCTGTTGGCTCTCGAGAGCGACTAACGAAGCTCAAAATATGTATGGCACCCAGGCGTACTACCTGCAGACAACTGTAATGGGCGTGTTGAATCCCAGATATCCAGGCTCTAGAGGATTGAAGTGTTGGGAGCGTCTCTGTCAAGATGGCACGGCGTTGTCACCTCTCCAAAGTCTTTGGCATGGGAGACAAGCTTCAGAGGTAGCTTTCAGGTTTACTATTGCGAAATTTATTGGCCAAATATCAAGAAGGCAAGATACCAACTCAATAAAACAGAAAGACAGAAATCGAGAAGACAAGATCAATTCCTTGAAAAGAGGAGCTTGGTGAAGCTTGTATGGTAGATTCACGACCAAGGTGCGGTAAAATAAATTTTAAAATGGAAAATAACTTTGCAATTATTGAAATTTAATAAGATAAAATAGTTAAATGGTGAAATAAACTAAATCCGTGAAGGAAGCAAAAAGAAGTGACCTCCCATTATTATTAGGTCGAGAGGGCTGGGAGATCGAGGGGATGCATGGCATCCTTTTAAAAGCTTCCCAGACAGTCGGGACAGGGCCACAAGACATAAAATAGTCTCGACCAATAGTGATCATAATATCACATCTCCTCAAGGGCATCTTGAAGGCGAAGCAAAAAAAAAATGTGTGGGGGGAGAAAGGCGGTGGGAAGAAGTCTTGAAAATACACAGCATCTTCGGGGATGAAGGAACGAAACACTGCGTCATAGGGAAATAGTTCAGTACCATGACAGCACTATTTATCATACCTGGGGTTTCAGGCACCTGGATCGAGATAGTCACAGGCAGTTCTAGGGACCGGGGGAGGGACGGATTTTGCCTTTTTGAGTCGGGTTTGACAATTTGGCATCCACCTAGCAAATAATCATGTATCCGGGTACGTAACGTCAATACAGACCTTGACCCCATTCCACAAAACCAGTGAGATAAGCCAGGACCCATCTCCACCCAGATAGGCCGAAACTAAAAAATCCTTTGGGATCAAGGAACGACAAAATGGGAGCGTTTACCAAGGTAGTTTATCTACGCTGCTTGTGGCGTAAGGCAAGGTAGATCGTAATTCGTACTGTCGTTTTCTGGATTGGTCAGGAAACAGCCTGTTAAGCGTGTAGTGCAAACTTCAAGGATCCTTTGCCCATTCGATTGGGACGGGATAGGGGAAGGCAAACAGGCAAGATCACCTGGCAGCGCAAGGTGCGAGCGGCGTATTTCCTGAGCTCCGACATCGATGAGGACGGCCAATAACCCGGTGCTTCCTATCTTGCGGCGTTCTCATTACAGATCAGCCTCCACGCCTAGTCTCATTTCGCACGCTCCTATACGCTGGGCGATAAGCGGTATTCTTCTCGTTGATCACCTTGGACAGAGATGGTTCGTCATGCCAGAGACCATTGCGTGCAGTTGAGGGTGGCAGATCACTGCCGCCACTTGCTCGTATGCCGCGTGATAGAATGAGAAGAAAATTACCAGAGGAGAATTCCTGAGACCTTATTTCAAATCAGGGGCAGTTGGAATGCCTTTGAACTGTAGCGAAGTCGAAAGGTGCTGTTGGCTGTTCCGGGCGGCTATCTAGGCCAAAGAAAAGCACCATTCAGTACCGACACTCTGGACGGAACGGTTCACAATAATACACCCACCACAAAGTGGCTGGATATAAGTTACGAGATAGCGTAATATATTGTACGTATTGCATGACAAATATTACCCGTAGTAATATCACTGTATCTAAATGTCCTGGTGGGTGCGGTACAGGGGCACGGATGTTCGATAGCAAATCAACTCTTGTGGATCTTGTCATTTTGTGACTTGCTTGAAGCGGCTTCCTTGGTTGCTCCTTTGTTTGCGTTTCTCGGTAGGTTCTTTCACATCATGATTGGTAGAAAACGGGTTTCTTACCCTCGATGGGATGAGACAACGGCATCGTTCGCTCCGTTAGTGCCGAAACCGTAAACCAAGGACAAAAAAAGAATAACAAGGGGGAAACTAAAAAGCTGGGTTTCTGATGAGTCTTAAACGACAAGCCAATATGGAATTGATCTCACTTGGATCAATCGTTTCTCTAGCGCAGACGAAACGGAATATTTTCCGAAATGTATTTGCACTTGAGGAACGCCACAAATGGGTCTTATTGCCGATGAAAAGGGGTGAAAAAGCTTGTTCTCCTAGAGGTCCTTGCCGCAATTGACCTCCAGGACGCCGAATTTTGGGGCAGCCTCTCGCTTTGAACAACAATACATAAGACCTCTTCTGAATCGATAATGAAATGCATGACCGGAAAGGCAATTCTCTGCAGCAGGGAGACCAGTTTCCGATGGGATCAGATAGGCCAGCAAGTAGGCGAAGAAACGGTGCAAACAGGGGGTCGCCGTGGGAAGGGATTAATTGGTCGTTCCATTTTAATCCATGCTCTCTTAGCCCTTTATTGATCTGTTCACAACTCCACATCCCAACTTCCACAATTCAGTTTGCCACGCTTTGAAAGAGCAGCAAGCTAGCCTCTATACTGCCAAACCCTCTTGCGGACTTCTACCAGGGAGTGGGAACCAGCCAGGATGTTTCTTCCTCGAGGCCAATAGACAGGGGTTTTCGAATCAATATGAGAGTTGTCCAACTGTAAGTTTGGTCATTTTAGTTGTTGCCTCGTGAGAAAGCGAGCCATCAGCGTCCCGAATCTAGAGAATTCTAGAGCCAACAGTCCCGAATCAGCCGTATGACGTACTTCGGTGGCCGCAGGTCGAAATTCATGAGCTGCAGCTGGGCTTTGTGTGCTGTCGTTGGCATCCAACCAGAAGATGACAATGACGTATGAGATCAACGGAAGGTTGATAGGATGAAAATGTCAATATGTGGACTCACATGAAAGATTCTGGTCCCTTAAAAATTTCCACAACGAAACGGGATCCGCAGTCTAGTATGAGAGAAGGGGAAAAGATCATCGCATTGAACTACTGCTTTGTAGCAGACAAAGCGTCCTATCATTATTTAAGTTCTTCCGCTCATATTACGGATAAGCTGAGGAACGTTAAAGCGCATCCATAAATCCCATTCAGTTTGAAGGTCATTGTCATTCCATCTGCGAGTCCGGCTCCCAAACCTGTCAGTATGAAAGCGATATAGGCATGGCAGTTCACCACACGAGACGTGGATGGTGGAGTGCGTCAGTTTTGTCCTGCTGTGATTCGGATTAAGGTATATTTATTACCCAAACCTGATTTTGCGTTAAATGAGGCGCTTAATTTGTCCAAGAGACGGGGGTTGTGTTGTCGAAAGCTTCAAATGATAGGAGATTTAATGTCAGGCACGCGCGAAGGAGCCACAACGGGTGCTTGACAGGCCTGAACACCGAACATCATTCAGCGCCGCCATCACAAATCTCCTCCTTGCGTGATCGGTTTGCAATAAACCAATAGGATTGCAGCCGTGGGTTGTTTCGAAGCTTGGTTGGAATTTGCCTGGTTGCCTCGAGTTTACTTCGCAGCCTTGAGTATGGGACTCCGATTCATGTCAAAAGAGCAATTAAGTGAAGTGCATGTTCAATGTTGACAACAACCTGGGAAAATTTGAGCCGCAATCAAAATTACATCAAACATCGCACACCACGAATCTTACCAAGAAATCTCACCCACATCTCAGCAACGATCTGAAGGCTTCTCCATCACTGCCTCTTGACAAAGCATGTATTTGGCAAGGAAAAACTGTCAGGGAAAAGGACAGCTGAGCGTCCACGATCTTCGCAGCTCAGCTGAACTTACAGAACCCTGTTTGGATGGATTAGTTAACTAGTTACCTAGTTATTTCATTCGAGGAAACCGGGTCTCGGTGGCATTGAAAGTAGGGGAAAACTTTCTGAACAGTGGAATGAACGGGTGTGAGCAAATCCGACCAAGGAAATATCCTTCACTGATCCCATCATTCACTACTCCGTAACGAAGTCGGAGCCCTAACTGGTGAAACAACCTCGCAGAAATAAAAGTAACATGCAGGAATCACCCTTGTGACAGGAAATTCGTATTTTGACCGCACCGAGTACCCGGATAGCCCATGCAAGCGTTGCGCAAAGTCGATTCTAATCAACTTGACCCAGTCGCCCGGGACGTTTTGCCAGGTCTGGTTGTTCAGCCATCTCGAGCTGAACGTTTCGTATCTGGTTTTGACACCTCGAATGAGTGGAGTTTTAATTCTCCATTGGCCAATTTAAATTATGACAGCTGGAATCATTAATTGGTTACTTATCGAAATTTTCATTTCATTTGTCAAGGTTAAAAAACACCGCCACGCTTGGGGGTCCAGTTCAAACTACAATAATAATGTAGCTGGCGTGATGCAAGACGAACTGAAAGTAAAGATATCAAGCGGTGAAGCTGCCAAGTTTATGTGAGTGTCGCCAGATCGTCATCGCCCCGCCCCACCAGGGAAAACGTGGAGGGAGTTCGATTATCATTGTCGAATGACTACAGAGAGGTTTTCCACAAAAGGAGAATTAATGACCAACCTCCTTCCCCGTGTCGAAATTTCGTGCGACGTGACGTCCAAACCCGAACCAAACCCATTTTGGAGGGCATTGAGCAAGAATTATTCGACCAGTTCTGGACACATCTCGAGAAATATGCAAATGCTCAAGAACGACTGCCACTCGCATTGTGGGCCAAAAATTCCAAAACAAACCGAGTTTGGCCCAACAAATGGCCCCGGCGCTACAGTGGCGCCCCAAGTGTGAGCAGATTAAATTTCTGGCATTGGCATTGCGCCCATTCGTTTAGGACTGCGCTGGCCACGGGAAGGTAGGCTAAACAAATATCGTTATTGATCTTTATTCGGATTTAAGAAGCTGCCATTGAGGCTCGAAACTATCGATCCGTAATTTGGAAACCGATGTTGGAATTGCAGAATACAGCGAGAGTTCGATTATGAGGCATCCCCTTTTCCTTCGACGTCCCGAAGGACGGGCTGTCAATCGGTTCTACGTATCTTTCCAGTCAAACCTTAAAGTTTTCCCGGGTACAAGGGTCCGGTCCCGCGGTGACGGATCCTTAGCGCTGGGCCCACATAGCGTATACCCAAGCAATGACTAGTGAGATACCTCCGGCCCTGACATCCGTCGTCCGATGTTCTGTGCTTCATGCCCCCTATGTGGAATGGTGCGTGACCTAAATTCACTGGGATGCGACTAGTAGGATATATACTCCGTACCCAGTATCGAGACAGTTTCAGTTTCAACATCAATACGACCGGTACTGTCACGTTCTGTATGGAAATGTCGTTTTCTCATTCGTCGTTGGCAGGGTCTCTGTTCAGCAGTGCTCGCAGTGCAACCTTGGAATGAACACCAGGTCTTCATTCGCCAACTTCCCTGACCAATCAATTCAAGCAGCTCAAAAGCAGAATACCTCATGAACTCACATTCCGACGTTCCGTGTGGTCATGAAGAGCAATTCCATTATTACTCCCATCATTTTTTGCAGTCTGTTTGAATGCGCATTGGATAAAGATCAACGGAGCGGGCAAGTCCTTTTTGCGTTGTACTGGATGTGAGGATGAGTAGGAGGGGTGATAACCTCTGTCTCACGAACATCCTCGTTGCGGGTTGAGGTCTTGTTGATATCAGCGGCCAATGCGTCGTTAGCGTCCACGGTGGAAACCTGCTCTCGGGATTTTTCGATTCAATTCCCATTGCCGAAAGGCTATTGTCCGTCTTCGTGAATTTTTAAAAACCGCCTGGGACAACTGGGCGATGTGTGTTTCCGCTTACAATAAACAATTCCTCCCAGACAGAGCAGAACTTCAGCGGACTAAGAAGATAAAGGAAAGCAAGGTTGGGAGAGCTAAAAAATAAAAAAAAAAAAAATAAAAAAAGAATAACAAGAAAGAAACCATTAGCAAAGATAATCGACTTGAGCTGCCCTCTTCAAAAAAGAAGGCGAAACTCTTATTCGGCAATTGAGCATTTGACTGGACAAGGTCCACGGCGCCCGAGTTCAACGAGCCCCCCACCACTCTATCAATATGATGGTCATGTGCATCAAGTGCATCAAAAAACTTCATCAAAAAGTGGTTCTAATACGTGTTCACTGCTCACTCTTCCTCTAGGCCGCTCGGATTCCAAAAGGCTGAGGATGGTCGGAGCCCGGAAAACCGGCGAATCCTGGAGTGAAACTGATTCGGCGCATGCAGATATGCTGAAGAATCTTCCTGATAACAATCTCCAAAGCTTGTGCTGGAAGGACATTCTTCCCGCCTAATTGGCTGGTTGCATATCATGTCAATCATGGGCTGAAACAAAGCAACTGCTCGCGACCACCGTCGCCCTTCGCGCTTTATCCATCCGGACCTTATTCCCACCGAACAACTCACCTCCTCCGTGAAGCAGATCCTGCATTCGAAGAACTGAGGTGCTGGAAATACGAAGGTGTCATTCACGACTATTGCACTTCAGGCTGCAGGCGCCTCGTTGCATTGATCCGATCTCGCATTCCATCGAGAGATATCAATGGCTGAGAGGCAATGGCAATTTTAGATATGACTGGGGCGATGTAACATTTTCCACTGCGCCGGCGTTGTTTGCAGGCGCTCTTATTCTTATAACCATTGCCTGTCAGGCCAGCGTCATTGACGATGAATTGGCAGTTTTGGTTCAGTGAAATAGCCTGATGCTACCAATGACCGTGAAGCACAATGCTATGGAAACGGAGACCTCGGATCAGGCAACAAAAACCCCAAAAGGCAAAACTTCACTTCAAAGCTATCAAATGAGAGTTATGTCTTTTATTCCAAAGCTGTTTCACTGTTTACCTTCCGATTCTGCGACCTATCCCCAATACTCCATACCTAGCATATGCAGCGAGTTTTAACCTCGTAGCTCTCTTTCGCCCCTATTCTGGCTTCCTTTGTGAGGGTGGGGTTGGGGTTTGAACACGGTCATATTTCCGCGTAAAAGTAATACTAGTCCTGGTAATTGCCAGCGAACGCGGTCACATAACTCTCAAGTTGTGAGAAATAATTCAACTTCAACCAAATCAAATAAAATATAATAAAATGTTCAAAACTCTTATTTGCGCCTCCCGATGGAGTTCGGCAACCTCCATCCTGCTTTGCATATTAATTGAAGAGCTTATTGAGACCTGTCATCTGCGCCTGCAGCATCGAACATCGAACATCGAACACCACTTTGTATTATGTAATTTAAAATATCACGTGCTACGGCCTCAAAAATTGAAACTTCGACGTCGATATCGATGTTGGGCTCCATTTGGCGACTCTCAAGATGCGAATGAAAGGACGCATTGGACACCTCCTGTCTATCTCCACTCTCATTAGCTAACTGAGAGCATAGGAAATGAAACAAACTCTAAAATAAACCAGTTGTCCTGATATACAGCCTGGCTTATTAGTGTGGTGGAAACTAAGTATGAGCCTGGGAAATGGCAAGTCGTTGCTAAGGCCGACTCTAATGCCATTTCTATACCCCACGTTGTCAAGCTCCATACGTAAATCAGTTTCCGCGACCGTTTCAAGCCGCAAATTAGTGCGGTATTCCTCTGAGGGCGCTGGACGTCTTAACGGCGCCGTACATCCACTCGGCGAGACCAGATTTTCCCACCAGGCGATATTATCCACAGGCAAACCCGTGGATAAGAACCACTTGAATCCCTCTCCATCTGATTATTCCCGCTCGATTTTCCAGGACCGCTGCACATTAACGCTCCACGCTGGGTCGGGGGGGAACGGCTGCGTTTCATTCCTCCGAGAAAAGTATATTGATGACGGACCTGCAAACGGAGGAGATGGCGGGAGCGGAGGAAATATATTCATACAGGCGGTCGAGGGTGAAACCAGTCTCCACAAGTTGGCTCGAAGAGGAATAATCAAGGCTGGACATGGTCGAAGTGGCCAAGGGAAGTCTCGCGGCGGGCAGCGAGGCAAGGATGTGCTGTTACAGGTGCCCGTAGGAACTGTCATCCGCGAGATCGGGCGGCTTGATCCCTTGGTTGAGGAAGAGCGTCGGTTGGCACAACTTATCCGTGAAATTGGAAAAGAGGAGGGAATGCGCGCTGCATCGGAGCGCCGGGAACGATGGGTCTTTTATCCTGGTTCGCAGCCCTCGGATTTTCTCACAGAAGACTTTCCAGTGCTACCACCAGCCCGTCGCTCGGCGCTAGCTGCTTCTCAACCTAAAAAGCCTATATACCTTGATCTCTCAGAGCATATGCCAGAACCGATATTGCTGGCCGCAGGGGCGGTCGGTGGTCTAGGAAATCCGAATTTTGTATCCAACACAAACACAAAACCCAGGTTTGCAACCAGGGGTGAAAAGGGTCTCAAGCTAGAGCTTGAGTTCGAGCTTAAATTACTAGCTGATGTTGGTCTTGTTGGTTTACCAAATGCTGGGAAAAGTACCCTACTTCGTTCAATTACGAACAGTCGGACACGGGTTGGAAATTGGGCATTCACTACGCTCTCTCCGAATATCGGGACCGTTGTGATTGATGATCACTCTGGACGTCCTTTTCTCGAGTCAAAGCCCGGGCATCCTCGGCGAACCCATTTCACCATCGCGGATATTCCAGGGTTGATAGAGGGAGCACATTTGGATAAGGGCCTTGGCCTTGGCTTTCTTCGCCACATCGAACGAGCAGGAATCCTCGCGTTCGTCATTGACCTGAGCGCGGGCGATGCTGTCCAAGCGCTAAAAGGGCTTTGGCGGGAACTATATGAGTACAACCGCCTTCGAGAGAGGAAATTGAACATCCAAGCAGAGGAGCGGCTAGTTTCGTGGATCCCACTAGATGGCCACCCTCCAGAGCAATTCCTCGATGAGTTCGGCGCGCAGCACCTAACACCGCCCACCTTGACTCCATCAAAACGAGACGTCTCTGCCAAGAATCTTCCGCCTATGTATACAAAGCCGTGGTTTGTCATCGCGACCAAGGCGGACCTTCCAGGAACTCAAGAGAACTATATAGCCTTGCGTTCTTATCTGGAAGAAGTTGAAAAGGGAAGTGTGGAACATCCATCCGGTCAGCCAAATGCGTGGCGAGGCAAGTTATATTCCATCCCTGTTAGCGCTATCAATGCGCAAGGAGTCAATTCCATACCGGAGAGAGTTGTTCGATTGTTAGACGGCTATTGATATGTAATAATAACACCTGGTGTTCTGGATCGGACTGTTGTGTGGGTTTGGGTACAATAGAATATACTAGCATTTTTTCATACAGATTCATAGATATCTATAGATAGCTATGTAGGACAATGGTATACGTCTTTTTATCGCCTGCCGTATTTCATCAAAACTGATAACGTTTAGGATGGCAACTATATTAATCTTCAACTGAAAACCAGCCCTAAATGGTGTCATTGGGAGGGAGGAAAAGATATTTTCCGGGCTGGCGCTTGGTCACGTCCACAGAGCTCGCCGCCAACAATCTTTTTCAACAGGTCTGCCCTTTTGACGTGACCCGATGCAATCAATACACCGTTTGACTCGTCAAGCCTTGTCCACTATATCGTCGCCATCCCCAGATGATCCGATCTGCGAATGTTTCGATGGTGACACTGGGAAGCTCATTTCAGCTCTCCTTCAGAACACTGACAATGCTCTTGCCCTCGCGGACAGTAAACTACGCGTGTTTCCATTCAAGGACGTGAAGGATTGCTGGAGACGGCTCTATACAGATGCTAGCATCGTAAAAGCATGCTGCGCAATAGAAAAACATCTACATGACGATGACACCAGTGAGGTCGATTGCCGTAAATTGGAGGGGCGAGAGCAGCAAGAATTTGACAGCCCGACATCGAAAGGCGGGCAACACCATAAATATGACATGGATGACCGCACGATCAGTCCGGATTCGTTGTGGCTGTCATCTGTTATCCATACCCTGGATAGAGCACTGATCATGACCCGCGCTCCGCGTAGAGAATTTCTGGTTGAATCACTTATTGCATGTTTGCAGGACATGACAGATTCTCATGCCTCGACAAGGCCATTCGCCCTCTTCTTTGACAAACTCGACTTGTTCAAGATCCACCCTGAACTTGAGCAAGAGGAGCAGCCACCACGAAAACGCAGGAAACT